ATGAAGTCAGTGGGAGTTGAAGGTGATTTGCTGTTTCTTTGGTGTCATGCACACTGATGGAGTGAGAACTCTCTGCCAATTAACACCGTGCATCCTAGACCACTTTTCTCATCCATGAGTGCAAATAATGAGTCCTATCGGTTAGATACCAATTTTATCTGGTTTATATTCACTTTCAGGGACAAGTAGGAGTAGGCATCTCTATGCTTGGGCTTCATTTTTTAGTTTGTAAATTGTGAGTTATTTTACCTGTGAGTGAAGGTAAAGAATGTAAAGGAGCATACTGTCTTGTTGTCATATTACCAAAGATGTAATCAAGTTTTGAAGAGCAATTAATACACAATGGCAATGATGGTAAGCAAGTAAGTACAGTCATGACATATTGCATGTCCTGAACTGATTCAGATACTCAGGTGTTCTGAGTTTTTGAAGTCAAGATCTGAACTGTGTTGACTTCACATAATTATAGAAAAAAAGCTTCAGGATTTAGCCATCACTTCCTGAAAAATTATAAATGGTCTCCATGTTTGGTTGCTCAGGTGGCTGCTGAGCAGCCAGCACATTCTTCCAAGTTTACTATAGCTGTAGGACAATATGTGACACTCCCTATTTTGTGATAGTGTAGCTGAGCCCAGAGATTGTGCAATTTGTTTGAACAGAATGTGTGGCTTTTTTCTTATTTCCAAATCTGTGTTATGAATTGCAGCACAGTATTTGAAGAAAAATGTAGTAGCCCTATATTTGTTCCCAAACAAATAATTTACCTTTTTTCCTTAGACAGCATTTTGGAAAGAACAGCAATATTCAAAAAGACACTCTAGATGAAGGGCAGATTGTGATAAATGTCTGTTCACCAGATACCCAAATGTCACAGAGGTAACTTTGCAAATATGCAGAACCCTCAACATAGTGGTCTTCCAAATCACATTTTACTGGTATCTGTGGTACATACACAGGCCATACTGATTATGCCTCCTTATTACACATAGCCATCATCTCCTAGATCCTGGACAGCCCCAGGCTTGGCAGACGTGATGGATTGAGTGCTACATGCAGCGCAGGCAGTTGCAGGTGGTAGCTAGCTCCTTGCATCACTTTCTTCTCACCTTTGCCCGGGTAACACAGCAAAAAACAGTTCATCCCATACAGAGGAAGCATGTATTCCCCCAAGCTTTTTAAGCTGAGACTCCTGGTTCTCCCTGATGGATGCCAACAGATTTCTCTTGGTATGCTCATTTTCAGTGCTTTTTTTGTACTCTGTTTTTCTTCTCTAGTTCTTCTCATACTCACCCCTCACTTCTCTTAGTCTGCCTTACAGCCTCTCTTTGAAGGATATTCTGTCTGTTTCTGAGTTTGTAATAAGACTAGGTGCTGCCTGGGAGAGTAGTGACAAGGAATCAAGGCATGTTTGTTTCATATGGATTCAGACAAGAGAACTGTAGTCTCTTCATGTGTTACAATCCCAGAGACTCAGAGTGCACCTTTTGTTTTCTGTGTTGGTGGCTGCTTGGAGAGAAAATGTACTCACCATGCTATGCAGCGTGTGCTGTACTATGCGTAATTGTAAGGATATATTTGCCTTAGAAAATTAAATTAAAGACATGGGATTGTACAGCTTATTCCACCATCGTTCTTCATATCTGCCCAGTACTGCAGAACTCTGGACCTTAAGCAGTATGTCATTAAGTTCTTAAGGATTGCTCTTATGGTAAAAATCATAACCAAACTTAGACAGGTAGGTCAAGAAGGAAAAGCAAGGAGAGGGGATAGAAAAGAAATAAAAACAATTTGTCATGGACAAGAGGAAAAGTGGAGTGGTTACAACTGAGGAAAGATAAAGGGGGCAAGCAGGAAAGTGATGTTTTGCTCTTCAAAAAAGTAGTAGTAAATTATTCCATAAACAAACAAACAAAAGATAAATTAAAGGAAGAATCCTAATATATAGAAGAGACTTTACCTACTGTAGTGTGTTTTGTGGTTGCTAGAAGTAAGCACATTTTTGTTTTGAAAATGGTGGTGTATCAGTAGCATTCATATAGAGAAACTGAGATTTTGTAAGACTTTCATCTATTCTTACTTGGGGCTACTATAATCAGTGTGATGCTAAAAGCAGTGATGACCACCTGAAATGTATGCTGGGCTGTACTTCTTTCTGTGTGTTATAATTCCCAGGAAGAAGTTTCCAGTTGAACTTGGTTATTGAGATGACGATCAAAAAGTTTTATCTATTCCATTTCAAGTATATAAGCAATGTTATTCTGCTAAATTTCTAGCCTTCTCTTGTTACTGTTACAAAGTAAAATTTCTTATATTCCCATGCTAAATTCAAGCAACATATGCTAGATGCTGGCATATAAGTGCTCTGTCTGGTAAAGAAATTACATGAATTGAGAGCAATAATGTAATTTCAGGAGATTTTTAGAATGAGGAACTCTGTTCTCAGCTATTGGCACTGCATAAATAATAACCTAAAAACCACAAACAAACAAACAAACAAAACCAACCAAACAAAAACCAAACAAAAAATCCAAACCCAAAGCAGATACGAATATGTATGTGGAAAAGCTTAAGGAAGCCCTGCTAAAATTTGGAGAGCACATAGGAAGTTTTTGTAGTGAAATCTAAAGAATTGGAAAAGAGCACACAAAAGAATGAAAATGAGGGTGAATCTTTGTACCTGCTAGCAATCCTGATGAATATAGAATGATCCAACTTCCAGCTGGTCAAATATGAGTCACCACCTAGAATGAAAGGCAGATGGGTTAGAACACGTTCTAGTCACACCTGCTCAGAATAAAGTGGCATTATACAAGCTTCCTTAAACATGCAGTCTAGTCTTGCTGTAATTTAAGCAAATGCCTACACTAAATTGTGTAAATTGTCTGAAGACATGGAGATTACCTGTATGGTGATTACCTGTATGGTTAGATTCAGCTATTTACTCTGATACTTTCAGGATCACAGTTTTAGCAACTAACTTCAATATATGCAACCATTTTACAAATGGAATTTTATCTCGCTTGGGCTTATCTTAAAGTGCAGAGTAATTATTTTAACACATCTAATTCAGTCACTAGATTAGAAATAGAGATCATTGTGTCTTATCATTCACTGATCAAGGCCATTTGCATAATATTGCAAATATCTTCAAGGTTATTAAGATTCAAGATTGTTACAAGGAATTTAAACTGTGCATGTTCACTGGCACAGATTACACCTAAATCAGAAACCTTAATAGTTGCTTAAAGCAGCTCATTTACTTGGAAGCTTAACTTGTTCATTTTCCATCTGTTTCTTAACAGGAAAGACTTGGTAGGAGTTTACAGGCTGCCCAAATTTTCTTTTTAGCTTGATCTTGCAGGTGCAGATAGAGCACAGAAAAGATGATTCATGCTCTTTTGTCCCCTTGGAGGCAAGGTCTTGAAGGTAACTAGTAATTGCATCAAATAACAACCAAATAGAATGTGAACTACCACAAACCACAGCCATGATGAATCTTTAGGGAGATTTTTTGCAAAATTCCTTACTTCCTAGAATAGAATGCCAGTGAGTTTGTATTTAGTAGGGAATTGGATATGGGAATCACTGTTTGTTTCCTTCAGAATCAACAGTACGGACCAGTTTTCCACTGGTCTAAATTTGATTTTGAACCTGCTGGCATTGTCTGTCTCCACAACATCAATCAGTTAAAACAAATGTATCCTCTAAGCCTATGTAATCAACCAGTACACCAACTTCTTGAGCAGTATCTAACTTAAATGCCTTGTACACCATCAGAAATAAAACTGGGGAAGAGGTGCGTTTGGCTTGGGCACTAGCAGCTTTCCTGGGCCCTTGCAAGTTTACATGAGCCACTGAGGCTGGTAAAGGTACACTGGTACCTTCTTCTGCTGTTTGTAACAATCCCACTGCAAAATATACACTCAAAATAACAAGGGGTATAAATAATTCCATTAGGTTTATTCATACAAATAAGACCTTTTAGCACTCAGAGGGTAATGAAGGGTTCTGACTTTTCTGACTTGCTGTTTCACTGGATCCAGTTAGAAATGGAAATCATTTGGTACTCAGCTTATTCAAGACTGAAGCGTTACAATGTTCCTGTAAAGCAGCAGTTCTTAGTGCTTTCTAAATGCTGATGAACGCATTTCTTATACCAGTTATTTTAACTGGGAGATCAAGTTGAAATGGAAAGTAAAGGTATTGCCTGTCAAACTGCAAAATTATGTCTCTTGGCCATTATTTTCTTTTGGTAGAACTCTTATCCGTGATTTGTTGCAGTAGCTAGAACTACCTGATAATTCATTTAATCCAAAGATAAGAGGAAGTGCAAAGGTGCCTTGTGCCATGGCTCAATCATTGATTGAATTTATAATCTGGTATTGTAGGTTTGCTGTGTAGTGGAATGAGTGTGAAATATGTGGAATGTATTTTTGTTGATGAATTTCCTGGAAGTTATTAAATTAATTTAGTAATTACAGTCACACTCTTTTCTAATTATGTAGAGCAGCAATTACTGAAACTGTTGCTGCTGGGTAGCCTTATTTTCACCAATAAAAATCATCTAAAGTATTTATATCACTACCTTTCTTTAATGTTTGGTAGTGTTTATATATATATTCTGTTGATTTTTTTTTTTTTTTTAATACTAGTCGGGGTCTTCTAGAACTAGAGAAGGCAGGTAAAGAGTCACTACTGGACTGGAGTGATAATCAGAGGAAATAATAAGAGTTTTCGAAAGACATAACTGGAGACATCCTTCAGATTCAGAATTATGTGTATTATTACTTTGCTCGTCATCATAGATATCATTTGCTTATCATAGAACAGAAGAGGAAACATCTCTTGTCTGGTTTGCTTTAGAAGTTCTACCATAGCTGTAAAAATATGTCTACTGCTTGCTCTTTTTGTTTAACTGTTCTACTATTTTTCTCCTTGTTTCCCATGTCTCTACTATAAATTACATCTAATTTGTATCGCATTTTTTATGTCCCTTTTAGGTATTGGAGTTGGTGTGCTGGTGCGGGAATATGGCAAATTGTCTAATTTGGATAAAGTCTACTTTGCCTTTCCTGGGGAACTGCTGATGAGAATGCTCAAACTCATCATTCTGCCATTAATCATATCAAGTATGATCACAGGTATGTCTGGAAATACAGTTAGATGATGAGGTTATCATTGTGGGTTAGCTTTCTTTCTAAAGGAAATAACCTCTGAAAACAATTTGATGGAACTCTATAATGAGAAATTCAGATTTCATACATTTAGATTAAATTTTTCCCTATATAGTGAGTATGGATTTGGAAGGATTAGTATTGTTATCTGGTAAGTACATTATAAAGAGCTGTGACGTAATAGCTTTACATGTTTTTAGATTCTTGTATCTCTCTCTCTCCCTGTTTTCAGGAGTGCATTAAGCAGTCGCAAATTGCAAGCCCAAAGCTGCAACAGCATGTTCTGAGGTAGAGAGTTAACTATTTTAAGTAGTCTCGTGTTACCATTTCACGAGAAAGGCGGGGCTAATCTCATGGTTTACTGTCATAAAGAGAATATTCCTGACCTACACTTCCCATGAGGTACTTTGCATGAGCTCTGGCATTTGCTGAATCCTTCTATGAGTCCATTAAATTCACTGACAGAAATAAATTACAGAGAAAAAATCCACTTGGTTCAAAGGAGTTGTGAGTTTTGGGTAACTACAAGTGTGGAGGAAGACTGTACGGCCAGGAAGGGGTTGTGGAAAGAAAAGAACAGCTTCCATCTCTTGAAAAAAGCAAGCAAGCCGTTGGCTGGAACCTTGCCATGGCATGCTAGAATTTGCTAACAGCTCACCCAGTAGAAAAGATTTGGAAAGATTTGGTGGAGACTGCTTAAAGCAAAGAGCCTGAACTGAATGTCAAATAGCCTTTCTTTAAAAATAGTAAATAAATTTAAAAAAGGGAAAGAAAGCCAAGCAGATATATCTTTATTTTGTAAACCTTTAGTGAAGGTACAAGGATGGTGACTATTTTCTTTTAGCTTACTACAGTGAATCAAAGCACATTCGTCACTATATTGTCCCTTTTCATCTCCACAAAGCCTCTGTTTTGTGAATGTATTTGTGCCCAGGTGTTTTTTGATTGATTGGATGTTAGTTAGTGAAAATGGATCAGAGTTCAGAATACAGAAAGGGAGAGCATGCTGTGATCAGAAAATTAAAGGGGAATTTCAGTCATCTATGAAAGTGCTTTTGAGAATTGGATATTGAGTACAAACTTTCAAGCTCCTCAAAGATCATGGTCAAAAATATGACTGATTTCACAAGAGCACACCCCAAAGTGGGCCTATGATAGAAGCATCCTGAGGGAAGCTGCCAAGGCCTTTCAAGCATATCTGTAATGCAGAGTGACAGGAACCCAGTGTTAGAACTGAAATGGAGAATGTCAAGAGCTGCAAGATCCAGAAGGGAAAGCTGCCAAAGGCAGAGTGAGAAATGATGGCACAAAATAGTCAAAAGCTGTGTCCAAAGGAACGGAGATGAAACAGTTGTTAGTATGTTAAGGAGAGGAAATCTTTACTCTGTGACAGGAGATCCAGGAAAAGTTGCCAAGATAAGATTAATACATTTCTTTTCTTCAACAAGCTTTTATTTTTGAGTTAAGCTGGGCTTAACTGTCTTCAGAAATAATTTATATCATTAGGATAACCTTGAGATTAATTATTTATTAAATGTATTCCTGTCCAGCACTTGCAAGGGGAAATGGCAATCATCCTGTTAAAAATACTAGGCTCTTACTTAACGTTTAATGTTCCAGTATGAGTAAACTGCATTTGTAGCTTTTAACACAAGCTTGGATTTTAAAGATTGCAGATTACAGGAGTTAAATTCATATAAAGAGAGGAGAATCACATGCTCTGATTCTGACCTTGGCATATCCCATTTCCATAAAAATAAGGGCATGTTTTTTCTACACTTCTATATTCAGTTTCTAGGAAAGAAAAAGGAAACAAGACTGATAAGGAACAGAAGCTATTTCAACAGAACACGCAGGGCTTTGCTGCTATTGAAAACAAAAGCATTAGCTGCCTGTACGCAAGTAACGCTGAAATGTGTGGCAAGCAAATGAATTACTCGTTTTTGTGCATGATGGTTTTCACTGTTTACCTGCATTCATCCTCAGGAAGTTGAGGAAATATTTTACCTCTTTTTTAAAAGAGACATATTAACCTTCCAAGCATCAGAAATGCAAATTTGAATTGAATAATAGACCTGTGTATAATCATGAAGCACACTAGTAATTTTTCCTCTTTCATACAGAATGGAAGAGACCTCTTGAAACCCTCTAGTCCAATCCTCAACTAAAACAAAGTAACCAGCTAGAGCAGGTTACCCTAGACCATGTCCAGGCAGGTTTTGAAAATCTTCAAGCATGGGGACTCCACAATTTCTCAAGGCAATGTGTTTGACCAACCTCACAGAAAACAGTGTTTTCCTGTTCGGATGAAATGTCGTGGGTTTTTTCCATTTTTGCCTATTGTTTCATGGCTTGTCTTTGGGCACCACTGTGAAGAGTCTGGCTCTGTACTCATTCACATCCATCAGCAATTTATATACATGAAAAAGATCCCTCTGAGCCTTCTCTTCTCCAGACTAAACAGTCCTTGCTCTCTCACCCTGTCATCATGTGAGAGATGCTCCAATCCCTTCATCATGTTTATGGCCCTTCACTGGACTCAACTGCAGTCAGTCCATCCCTTTCTTGTACTGGGGAGCCTACAACTAGACAAAGTACTCCAGATGTGGCCTAACAGGTGTTGTGTTTAGAGAGATCACCTCCCTCCACATGCTGGCAGTGCTTGTCAGAATGCTGCCCAGGAGGCTGCCGGCCACCTTTGCTATGAGTTGTTGCTGTCTTGTTGTCTCTCGGGACCTTCAGGTCCTTCTCTGCAGAGCTGTTCTCCAGCCAGCCATCCACCAGCATGTACTGGTGCTTTACATTATTCCTCGCCAGATATAGGGTTCTGCATTTCTTCTTGCTGAACTTATGATACTTCTTTCAGACAAATCCTCCAGCCCATCCAGGTATCTCTGAGTGACAGTATAACCATATCACGTATCAGCCATTCCTCTGAATTTTTAATCATAGAATGCTTTTGTTTGGAAATGACCTTAAAGATCATCTAGTTCCAAATCCCCTGTCATGAACAGAAACACCTTCTACTAGACCACTTTGCTCCAAGCCCCATCTGACCTGGCATTGGACCCTTCCAGGGATGGGGCAAACACAGTTTCTTGGGCCAACCTGTTCTAGTGTCTCATCATCTTCAAAGTGAAGAATTTCTTTCCAATATCTAAACTAAACTTACCTGTTTGCAATTTAAAGCCATTCCCATTTTTCCTAGAATTAGATGCCTTTGTAAAAAGTCCTTCTTTATCTCTTTTATCAGCCCTTGCAAGTATCTCTTTTATCAGCCCTTGCAAGTACTGATACAAGATCTCTCAGTAACTTTCTCTCCTTCAGACAGAAAAATCCTATGAACTTGCTGAGGAACCACTCTTCTTCAACATCAGCTCCATCACTGGGTCCTTGATAAAATGTTAAACAGTATTGGTCCTGGTATTGACCTCTGGGGTGCATCATCACTGAATTGCCTCCAACCAGACTTGTGCTGGTGATCACAACCTTCTGGGCCTGCACATTCAACCAGGTTTCAATTCACCTCACTTTGCAATTGTCTAAGCTGTGTTTTGTCAGTTGTTCCACGGGTTTATTATGGATGACAGTGTCAAAAACCTCACTAAAGTCAAGTTAGACCACACGATCTCTTTGCAATTATGAATTTTAGCACAAAAGCAAAATTCACACTTAAAAAAAAAATTACTGTAAATTCTTTACAGAACAAGGATGGGATTAAAAAATTTAAGGAAGATCCAGGATGTGTCTTTAGTTAAGTTTCTAAACAAGACAAACATCTCACTGTTAGTGGCAAGGCCACATATTTTTGCATTTGGCTGTACGTTTCCTGGGGTGAGACACAAAAGCATTTTCCTCTGAAGTAACCTCATTATTATTAACTAAATATATGACATGCAAGGAAAGCACCACTGCCTGGATTCTGGGTGGCTCTTTGGTGGGACCAGATGTGTTCTGAGGATGTCCACCTCCTTGGGATTTGCATATTATGCAGACCTCAGTAAGACCTATATCTGATGTTCACGGCTGTCAAACCTATATACACATGCACCTACTTAGTGGCAGATATTTATGGTCCCAATACATGCAAAGTTACTGCAGTAAAACTAGTGACAATACCTCAGGTGGTCCTGAATGACTGTCTTTTTAGTAAACAATTTAAGGGGATGCTGCTTAGCTCACTGTGAGAAAGTTCAACGTTGTCCTGTCATTGTGCCTTTGCGGCAGGCCAAGTGTGTGCACAAGAGATAATTGCAGGGGCTCATTTGGTGCATAACTGTAACCAGATCATGATGCTGGGTCCAAAGGCATCTAAGAAGTTTTGATGCCTTTTGCAAATGTATATCATGTCGAAATACTGGATTTTGGATACTAGCAACATTTTTGCACAAGAATCATCAAGACATTTTTGAAAATACAGTCTGTAGTATTTTTATGATTAGAATGTCTTAAAAGGTAATGTTGCATCCTGAAAAGAAGCAGCTTATATTTTAGAGACAGTGAGCTGTGCACAAATGCGTGTCTCATGCCCAGAGCCCAGCCCATTTGGATGTAATGATGTAAATCAAGCCCACAGCAAAGAGAGCAGAGGTGGGAATCACTCTTTGAGATTCCAGGACTTTTTGCAAAATTTAAAGTATTAGTACCTTTAGTTTGTTGGAGATTCCATCTTAGTGGAAAAACTCTCCCTGATTTCTTCACTTAGATGAGGAACACACTTCCTTCTTCTATTTAGAGTTCTTATTAGAGCAAGAACACCTTCCCCCTGTCTATTTTCAGATTCAAAAGGCAAAATCCTCCCTCTGGTTAAATGTAGAGCTCTGTAGAATGTGTTTTTTGTTCACAAACCCAGTTTCCTCTGAGTGTAAAAGAGAAGAAGCATTGTTTACATACTTCAATAGTGTAACAAGTTTCAATCTGTGAAATTTTTGCACTAACCTCCCTGGAAGTTTAACTGTAGCCCAGTA